CTAGAGACTTCACAACCCTAACAAGAATGATGTGAAATTTAAAACATGAGTTGTTTGCTTAGGAATTTTCCATTTAGTATCTCCATACCACAATTGGCCACTGACAGAACTCACAGAAAGGTAAACCAGAAGTCAAGGAGATAGACTGCATAACTCAGCCATACTAAAAAGTACATGAAATATAAACAATCTGAAACACTCCAGGACCTAGAGCAATGGCTCAGTGGTTACAAACACTGGCTGTTCTTCCTGAGGACCCAGGCTCACTTCCAGGACCCAAACAGTGGCTCATACCCACCTGTAACTCTAGTTGAGGGAACCTGACCTGATGCCCTCTCTGGCCTCTATGAGCAAGCAAAACTCTCACATAAAATAATTTTTAAATAAAAAAAAACTCTGAGACAAAACTCAGTTGAGATATAAACGCTCAGTATAATTTTTAAAAACTAAAAAGAAAGTCATAACAAAACAAATAGGTTCAGAATGGCAAGACGATGGCTTAGTGGGTAAAGGCACTTGCCACCAAAGCCGAATTCAATTCCCAGAGACCACTTGCTAGAAAAGGACCAACTCCCACAAGTTGTCCTCTGACTTCCATATATGTGGTGCTCATACATGCAAACGCGGACACACACACACTATAGTTATTATAAAATGAGTACATTTAAGGAAGAAGAAAATAACAGGCATCTAGTCATCAGATCTAAATCAAGAAATTATTGCATATTGAACCTGTGGAGCAAATAGAAACAAATGGAAGTTAAGCAAAAGATGCTAGACACAACTGTCATGTACCTTATTTTATGCAACATTCTAGAATATACAAACAGAGATAGAGATAGGAAGAAGATTACAGCACACATCAATAGGTAGAGGGCATTTTATGAGGTGATGAAAAAGTTTTTAAACTCGACTGTGCTGGTGGTTGAAAAATATTGTGAATACAACAACCCTTATAGTAAATATAATAATACCAATCTATTAAGTTGTACTTTTTTTTTTCTTTTTGGTTTTTTGGAGATAGGGTTTCTCTGTAGCCTTGGAGCTGGTCACTTTGTAGACCCGGCTGGCCTCGAACTCAGAGATTCTCCTGTCTCTGCTTCCCAAATGCTGGGATTAAAGTCATGTGCCACCACCACTTGACTAAGTTGTACATTTTTAAAGAGTTGGTTGAATACTAATTTCACCTTTCATACAGTTGTGTCAACAACAACAAAAGCATAAAAGGAGCTGGCTGGGGTGATCAGTTAGTAAAGCACTTGTCCGCCACCAAGAACAAGTGCCTGAGTTCAGATCCCAGCATTCATGTAAAAAAAGCTGGGGACAATGGTGCCACACTGCTTGTAATTGCAGAGCTAAAGAACAGAGGAAGAGGATCTATGGACTTACTGGCCAGTCTAGTAAAAAATCAGTGAGCCGCAAGTGGGGTCACTTTTGTGGATACTTCCATTTACCTTCACGCAAAAAACATCAGGAGAAAGTATTTGTTCATACCAGTTACAACACACAAAACAAGAACTCAAACCCAAGGCCTGGAGTTAAAAAGTTTGTTACCAAGAGCTTTTGGAGCTCTTACACAGGCTGGAAGACTTGGCCCATCACAGGAGGCACAGGTTCTCTTCTCTAACGGCAGTAAATATGCCGTGGGATATGAGAAGCAAAATTCTTGCTTCTCAGTCTTGAAATAAAGAGGCTACAGACAGAAACTGGACTATATTATCCACGTTATATCAAGGTCATCATTGGCCAATGCTAGAAGAAATAAAGAAAATCAATAGAGTATGGTGATTCCACAGCCCAAATCAGAAATTGAGCCAATAAGGAATTCTCAAAACTCCTAAAAATGCAAGAAAAGATCACTGGAAAAACATATCCTATAACTCCAAATACTAAGGAGAGTTTACAACTGCATATATTAGCCAAAAACAAATTTAAAGCTCATTAGTTCTTCAGTGTGATATACCGAAGCTTTGGTGTAGGTTAAAACAATTTCTTCAATCTTAATAATAATAAAGCTAATTCTATAGACAGCCTTACAAATTACTGCATTTATTAACTTTAAAGATTTTAAACATGAGTAAGTCTGGTGACATAGGCCTTTAATCCCAGCTAGGGAGACTAAAGCAGGTGGGTTTCTATGAGTTCAAGACCAGCCTGTTCTACACAGCAAGTTCCAAGACAGAGGAGGCTACATACTGAGAACCTTCAAAAAAAATGGTTGAGTGGTGGTGGCACAGGTCTTTAATCCCAGCACTCAGGAGGCAGAAGCAGACAGACCCAGCCTAGTCTACTGAGTATGTTCCTGGACGGTCAGGACTGTTACATAGAGAAATCCTGTCTCAAAAAAAATAATAATAAGAGAGAGAGAGAGAGAGAGATTTTAAACATTTACTTTCTAGAGGATATAAAAATCAGAATAAGTTGCCGGGTGGTGGTGGCGCACACCTTTAATCCCAGCACTCGGGAGGCAGAGGCAGGCAGATCTCTGTGAGTTCGAGGCCAGCCTGGTCTACAAGAGCTAGTTCCAGGACAGGAACCAAAAGCTACGGAGAAACCCTGTCTCGAAAAATCAAAAAAAAAATCAGAATAAGTTTTAGGACAAATTTGTATTCACTTAAGTTGAAGAAATACTTTGCAAGGTTTAATAAAATAAATACATGTATATATACAGATACAGACACATATTCTCCATCACAGAATTTAAGTGTGTAGAAAGTCTACTACTATTCTCTATCACAGGATTTAAGTGTGTAGACAGTCTACTACTATTCTCCATCACAGGATTTAAGTGTGTAGACAGTCTACTACTATTTACATCACAGGATTTAAGTGTGTAGACAGTCTACTACTATTTACATCACAGGATTTAAGTGTGTAGACAGTCTACTACTATTCTCCATCACAGAACTTAAGTGTGTAGAAAGTCTACTACTATTTACAGAGCAAGTACAAAGGTTGAACACTGACAAAGGGGGGGAAGGGTGTGCAGTTAAATATACGCTATTATATTGTTTTAGCTCTTGAGCTTTATGTTCAGAGGACTTTAATAGATTACACTAGAGTGTTCATAGTATGTCATGAATCAATAAAGTTCAAAAAAGAAAAAGATAGGCCAAAAGGCCAGAGGATTTAAAGACAGGGACAATGACTGACAGAGATATGACTACCACAGTAAGCAGCAAATAGTTAAATACATTATTAGGAAATCTCTAAGTATCAAAAGCAGTTTTGCATGACCAACAATGTAATCTTCACTTTTTCTAACACAACTTGGTCACCTTCACATCCTACAAGTCTTGTAATTACAGTGGAATACAATGCATGTTAGGGCAGCTGACTGTGACCCTGTAGGCCACAGTCACACTAAGTTCTGAACACCTCTTTCCTAAGTGGCTCTGCTGACAACAGAGCTTGAGTAGCGCTTGCAGTCAGCAGGTGCTGGGGAAGGTACTGAGCACTGCAAACAGGATGCAGCTCCCACAGAGGACTCAGCAACTGTGCATGGCACACTGACAGCAGCTAAGGCTCCGACAGCCCTGGATCATTTAGTACTGACTTTCCACGCACATGCCACCCCGCCGTTCCTGCCATTTCAAACCCTCATCTCCCAGTCTTCTCTGCTCTGCAGCTGCACTAGAGCAGAGCTCCTCAGTTCTCACTCCTGTCATTTTTTAACTTTAATACAAACTACTAATCAAAATGTAAAACCTAAAAACAGTTTTAATACCATTAAAATGTCATTTCATTTGTAATGATTTTGTTAAAATGTTAATTCTAACCACTAGCATAAATATGAGTATTACTCTCCAGGGCTGTATAACAATAAATAATTTGTCCAAATGTCAAATGTAATTTTCAAAATTCTTTCTTGCCAAAATTTTAAACATTAATAGAAAACACTTGTTTTGAGAATGGTTTCTATTTATGACATTTGGCCTTTTGTTGTATGCACCACAAAATTCAGACCTCAAATACCATGCAGGGGGACATCGATCACCCCACAGTGGCTATCCACAGGGCCCAATATCAAATATTAGTTTGAGGTTGCACTGTCGTGTATTACAGACCCAACCCCACCCTTAAATCAGTTGTACTCTGTCTCTCTAAAATGTGTCTTTATAGGACATCGGCCTTCGAACTTCCACCTTCCCACTGAGAAAAACATGTCTGGGAGATTTTCCTTCTTTTAAAGTAGAGCACCACATGGGTGGTATAACCAAGGCCAGATTTAAAAAAAAAAACAACAACAACAACAACAACAAAAAAACTTTAAGGAAGATGATGGTTACGGACTATTAATTACCAGATATAATTATAAAAGGAAACCAGGCTGAAATACCACTACAGATTTATGAACAATCTGAAATACTAAAAGTTCACAAAATAAATTGTGAGAATGTAACACTGGTCTATTTTTTCCCAGAGTAAGTGAAGCTGTATATTACAGATTTAGAATCAAAGAGCACATGAACTAATAAAAACAAAAGTCTAAGAGCCCAGTGAGTTACTCTAACAAACTACTTCAAACAGGAAATATTTATTAGTTCATAAATAACCCTAATATCACAGAAACTAAAAGTTTTATCTAAGATAAGATTTATACACTACAACTGTCTTATAGATCTTATAAAGAATGGCATTTCAATCAATCTTGTCAGTTCTCTTCAGACTGGAAAGCAATCAGGCAACTCTGGGGCAGGGACATCCAAGTACAGTCCCAGCACAAAAGTCTACAAACCAAGGTCTTGTTTCAGAAAGCCAAATCAATAAACATCCAGTGTGCTGAAGATACAGGGAATGAGAACTCTACATCATCCCTAGTAAGGTTACAACTGACTAATCAAAATCTACTAAAATAAATAAATAAAAATAAAAAACACCCTTTAGATCTTTATCTAAAAACAGCTCCTTGTAAATAATTATGTTACTTGAATGGACTTGCAGAAAGTAAGTACATAGATTTATGTGACTTTTAATAGTTAGGCTCAGCAGTTTCTTACCTGGATTCCATCTTTAAGTTTCAAGATGCATTCCATTGTATTGATCGTAATGACCACAGGCTCGGAGCCCAGTTTTGTCCATGGTACATGAATCCTCAGCTCATGAATATGGCCACTTAAAAATGTGAATGGTAACTTTAGTTCCTTAAAACAGAAAATCGTAAATAAAAGTTAGTAAATACATAAGTGTTTTTATTTTCATATAAGTTCTTTCCTTAAAGGAAAAAAATTTTTTTAAAAAATTGGGGGGCATTGCTACTTATCAAAAATTAGAATCAACAGCCAAGCAGTGGCAGTGGACGCCTTTAATCCCAGCACTCGGGAGGCAGAGGCAGGCGGATCTCTGAATTTGAGGGCAGCCTGATCTACAGAGCCAGTAAGTCAAGGACAGGCAAAGCTTTTCACAAGAAAAACCCTGTCTCAAAAAACTGGAAAAAGAAAAAAAAACAGAAAGTATAGGTAATAATAAACCACAAAAATGTGCTATACAAGTTACATTTAAAAAATTATTTAAATTCTCCAGGCTTCAGTTTCCTAATAAACCAAGCAGGAACAGCCAGCCTCCCACCTGGGCACAGGCTTCAGGCTTTTACAAAAGCTGGAGCAACAGCGACCACAGAAGTAGTTAGCAGCAAGACTTGGGCTACCCACAAGGTACTTTTTCCTGTCTCTCTCACAATATGCCACAAAACATGTTCCCAAAGCAAGCTGAAAGAGGCTTACTTGGAGACAGGAGGCTGGCCTGACAACAGACTGAATGCCTACTGTGCTCACCTAATGATTTAACCTAGTTAAGATGTGGGCATCAACTCAAAAATGCTTCCAATTGCTTTCCACTATTACCAGGCAGAAGTTTAACAAATATAAATTTTACCAAAATCACTTCATACTAATCTCACTTCTAGAGAAAATTTTTGCAGCAAATCAAAGAAACTATATTTGCTGCATCTCTACAATACTGCAGCAACTTGTAAACTGAATAACTATTAAACATACAATTTTTTGCCAACATACTTGTTTCAGTAACGTAATAAAAATATATCTATGTATAGGTAAATCGTTAAAACCAATTACTGTAGAACCATCAGACACAGATCCAAATCCTGAATCTGTCATGTGCTAACCCAGTCACACCGGAAAAATTTGGCACATACTCCTTTTCATTATCTGCAACTTTAGATGAGAAAACAGTTTGAGGGTTTGAACTGTCTTTCTCACACAGAGCCCACTTTAAGGAGGCTAGCACTGATAATGATTATTACTATTATGTAAGTGTGGGTCAAAAGTATGACTACAGACAGAGGTTTTTGCTGCTGTTTTGTTTTTATTTTTCGGCTTTTTGGGTTGTTTTTTTTTTTTTTGTCTAAAATCAGACTACTAAAATTTTGTTGTTGCTAACCTTTACTAGTAAGTGCATCTCATTAAGCTTAAAGAGGTAATAACGTCTTCCAATACTGGCACAAGATTATATGCTAATCAGTACTTACACCACCACAATATTACTAAGTACTTACTGCATACTAAGTCCAATTATAAGCAGCCCCCCTATATGGAATTATTTGATCATGAGAAGATTAGATATCATCCACATTTTATAATGATGACTCGTAAGGCATGAAGGGTTTGATAATTTCACAAAATGAAACCTCTACACAAGAGAGGATACAAATCAAACCAGATTCCAGAGTCCTTGTTTTTAACCACTAAAACTGCTGGCCTTTCTACCTCCTTTACCAACACGAACTTCCACTATGTAGCTTCTTGGACAATGAGTGGTTACATTTCTACCTCTTGCACCTCTTGACTTGTGCAACAATGTATTTGCAAAATGTCTAACAAATTTGTCGTCTATGAATGCAAATCAATTTTAATTAAATTCAGAATGCTAATCATCAACTGAGCCACTACCAACATACTAAAACAGAAGAAGCAGTTCTCTACATTAGCGAATGGAATTATAAGCCATACAGGCCAGATCAGAGATGCAAATCAAATTCTATATTTAGTAGTCACCTGATTGTCAACAAGAATGTTTGTACAAAGTATTGTGATAATAAACAAGTAAGAATGTATCTGCTCTGAGAAGGGAAAAAATACAAAGGCTGATTATTGTACCTAGATCTTGAAGTAACCAGAAGCAAATTACTTCCTTTCTACTATTTCCTGTCCTAGAAATATAATTCTTCATCTTGACTATGGTGTACTTCCTATCCTTCACTGTGGACTATCTACACAAACACGAGGCAGAGTGCTTACCGAGTAGTGTGGGGCTTGACCTCGAGAACTCCACAAGGGAAAGGAGTGAGAGACCCTTCCCTAAACACCTGTGTACATGGCTGTGCATGGGATAGTGCTAGCCAAGATTTAAGATGAAAGCTGAACATCTCAAAAATATAACGCCTATAATCCAAGCTACTCAGGAAGCTGAGGCAGGAGGATCAAGTTTTCAGGTCAGATTAGGCAACAAAGGACCTCATCTATAAAACAAGTTACTCTTAGATAAGGTATGATGGGAGAGTGTTCTTTCATAAGAATTTTAAAATATTAAATAAACAAAAGGCAACAAACACAAAACAAGCGAGTTTACATCTAACTTAAAACCTTTGAATAGCAAAAACAACAGAGTAAATGGGCCACATTAACAGATATGAGAAAAAATAGATGAAAAACATTTATCTGGGAAAATGTTAATATCTACTGTATAGAATTTCTAAAACTTAAAAATTTCTAAAACAACAAAATCATTTAAAAAATAAATAAGCCATGCACAATGGTGCACACCTTTAATTCCAGCACTTGCACAGAAACAGGTGGATCTCTGTGAGTTTGGGACCAGCCTGGGCTATACAGTGAGTTTACAGACAGCCAGGTCTACACAGTGAGACCCTATCCCAAAAGAAAGAAAGAAAAGGATAATAAACAACTTGAACAGAGCCTTCTCCACAGACCAGACACACAAATGCCAACAAGTATATAAAAAGATGGTCAAAGATGGTCAATGTTCAAATCTAAAGCAATGAGTTCCGATTCCTTATTTGATACGTATACTTTTGAAAATGTGATTGAAGACACACAAATCAATAATGAATAAATAGTCATCACTAGCAGAATATGGAAAGAAGTTCTTCAAAGTAATACCAGATTGTACAAAAAACCCACCCACAAGAACGAAAGGTGAGTAGATGGTTATGAACGGCCAGCTGCAGGACTCTCTCCCTCCTGTCTTTTCCCACTGGAGAAAGTTCACAGAAGGGGATGGTGTGCAGTGTCTGCTAAACTGAAACACACCCTCCTGGAGACACAGAGCAGCTCTCCCAACTCTCTAGACTCGGGAATCTCAGAACAGACTCACAGGGTTGCCCGCGATGGCACATCAACAGTGTTAGGAGTGTATCACCTATGCTGGGTGAATATGTCAACAATACAGCTGTCTTCCCCTCACCCATTATAATCTAAATCAGTGGTTCTCAACCTTCCTAATACTGCAACCCTTTAATACAGTTCGTGTTATGGTGACCCTAACAATAAAATTATCTTCATTGCTACTTCCTAACTAATTCTGCTGTTATGAACTGTAATAAACATCTGATATGCAGGACATTTGATATGCACCGCTATGAAAGGGTCATTTGTCAGGTTGAGACCTACAGGTTGACAAACGCACTCTAAATAAACCCTCTCCTCGGAAACTCGCTAGTGGGCATCTTGAACAGTCATCAGTGCCCCACCTCAAGTAAACTGACATGGTTCATGCCCCCCTCCAAAAACTAACAAAGCAGGAAGGAAGAGAGTTTTTGAAGAGGAAAGTGCATCATAGTGACTTGTTTGGCTATTTTTTTCAAATGGAAACATTTCCTCCTAGAGGGAAGAGGAAGACTTCTAAAATTAAAAAAGCTAATGGGGTGTACCTTAGTTAGAAAGCCCTCAGTGTTAGATGGTTAACAGTCCCCTCCCCCAGGTTAGTAGTAAGGAGAGCAGCTTGCAAACGGTGCAGTGAGCTCCAGGATCCCGCTGTGACAAGTTGTCACACACACTAAAGATGGATTTTCAGTAGTGCTGGTGCCTTCGAGACACTCACACTCCTGCAAGTAACCCTAATGTACTCACTAGCTCCCCAAGCCAGACTTAGTAGAATCATTTCTTTGTGTTGTCAGTGTCTAAAGTCAATGGAAGTTTGTTCACATCTCCCCCAGGAAAAGGCACACAACAAAATGGAGATCCTGTGAACAATCACTAAGACAATAACTCAGAAATAACTTGGAATCAAAGTAAATGGCAGAGACACACCAGAAGAAAAAAAAATGACATTAAGACACTGAAAGTAATTTGAAAATGAAAGATGAAAATCCAACCATAAAAATATAAGAACTGAACATAAAAGAATTAAATACTCCAACTAAAAAGCAAAGACTGTCAGATGATTTAAACCTGTAAGAGATGTGAATATAAAGAAACACTTCAGATATGAAAATACAAACGTAATGAAAAGAAAAAGCAAATTGTATATGTCCTAGTTGTGTCTACTGCTGTGACCAAACACTGACCAAGAGCAACCTCAAGAGCACAGGTCACAGTTCACCATCAAAGGAAGAGCGACCTCGAGAGCACAGGTCACTTGGGTCACAGGACACAGTTCACCACAGGAAGAGCGACCTCGAGAGGACAGGGCACAGTTCACCATCACAGGAAGAGCAACCTCAAGAGGAGAGATCACTCGGCTCACAGGAAGCCACAGCAGCAGTCACAGCGGGATCCTGGAGCAGGAACTGAAGCAGAGACAAGGAGAAATGCTGCTCACTGATTTTTTTCCCCTGGTTTGCTCAACTACCTGCCTAGAGATGGCACCGCCCACAGTAGGCTGGGCCTCCTGACAACAGTTAGCAATTAAGGAAATGCCCCATGGGTCTGTCCACAGGCCAGTCTGATGATCAGGCACCACAACATAGCAGGCAAACAGTAAGTACAGAAAGCTAAAGTAAACTATAATTATCAGATAAGACGACACCATAGTGGGATAGAGAAAAAAAGCTGACAGTAAAGATCAGAAGAGTTGGGAGACCATCCTGGACTCCATGAAACCCCACCCAAAATGAAAACCTGACAGGGGCAGGCCTGAGTGATGGCTCAGAGAGTGATGGTTTGTACTAGGAAAATCTGAGTATCCAGTTCAGATCCCTGTACTCATAAATAAAAATAAGAAAGAGGCACAGCCGGGCGGTGGTGGCGCACGCCTTTAATCCCAGCACTCGGGAGGCAGAGGCAGGTGGATCTCTGTGAGTTCGAGACCAGCCTGGTCTACAAGAGCTAGTTCCAAGACAGGCTCCAAAACCACAGAGAAACCCTGTATTGAAAAACCAAAAAAAAGAAAAAAAAGAAAAAAAAAGAAAGGCACAGTCATACCTCTAACTCTAGTCCTAGGAGTGAGGAGAGACAGGAGGATTGTTGGGACTTGCAGCCATCAGTCTATCTCCAGCTTCAGTAACTAACCTGCCCAGAGAAGCACGGTGGAACGAGACAGAGCAGAGCAAAAAGTGTCCTCCGCTGGCCTACACTCGCACAGAGGTACAAACACATGCACGTGCCAATGTGCACACACCTCATACACATATGCCATGCTCACAGGCACCATTGCTCACAAACACGTAAATACATTCACACAAACACACAGCCACACCAAATAAACAAAAAGGTCAAACTGGACATGTTACAGTGATAAAAAGATCAATTCATGAAGAACATATAAAATATACAAGAAGTCACAAAATACATATAGCAAAATCTAACGAAACTGCAAAGATAAAAAAACACCTAAAAAATAATCGCAGGAACTGGAAAAATGGCTCAGTGGTTAAGAGCACTTGTTCTTGCAGGGGACCCAGGCTCCATTCCCAGCACCCACACGGCAGCTCACAATCATCTTTAACTCCAGGAGATCTAACACCTTTGTTCTCCAAGGGCACCAGGCACAAACTTGGTGCACAGACAAACATGCAGACAAAACACACATATCAAAAAATAATAAAAATTCTAGTGGAATGTAGGCACGAGGGCTTGGCAGGTGAGGGCGCTGGCCCAGGTAAGCCTGATGACCTCAGTTCCATCACCTGGACCATGCCTAGATGAGAGAACCAGCTCCTGCCAGCTGTCATCTGAAAGTCCAGTCTCTTCACATCTGCTCCACATTTTGTTAAATTTCTAGCCATGCAATAATAAAAATAAACTAAAAGCATCAATGGTATCTAGCACATTATATACCAATTTTTAAAAACTGGCTTAAAAGATCCAAAAGTAGCATTACTTATAATGGCATAGGCAATCAGTCTGAAGAAACCTACCAAAATCTTTTAGATAAATTAGAAAAACAAAGGTCTTAGTCAGGATAGGAATAGTCCTAAGCACAAAGGCAAACACTGATATAATGGACAATAAATTTATGAACTTCTATTCATCATTATGCCTTTAAGAAAGTAAAAGCAACAAGCAAACTGGGAGATGATATATTAACGCATATCTGACAAAGACCTCATTTCCCAGATACAAAACAGGAGCCAGAGGTATAGCTTAGGCACAGAAGGCAAGCTTAATCATGTGAGCTCCTGGATTCAATACCCAGAACCAAACAACTTAAACAAAATAAATTCCCACACAGAAGTTAGGAAGGGCAAATATTCTCATCTTTCCCCCTACTGTCTCAAAAAGAAAAAAAAAATCGGAATGTAGCAAAAATATCCAAATGACCTGCCATTTGGCATATTCAAAGAAAATACAATGGCATATCACTACACATCCACCAGAAGCCAAAAATTCAAAGCAACAAACATACCAAGTAGGAATAAAAATGTGAAATAATTAAAACCACCATAGTATGACCGTTAATACACTCTGTTATTAATATACCATTAAACTATTAGCAATACATACTAAAAACCAAACATATGCCTACTTCCTAGGTATGTACGTAAGGGAAACTATTGCTTATGTATATAAAAAAAACCCCTACTGTTTATGTACATTTAAGCATGTTCATAGGCACTTTCTTCGTAAGAGCCAAAAATATAAACAACCAAACGTGCTACAGATAGAACAGATCAATTGTGGCACTCTTTGTTGTTTTTGAAACAGGGTTTCTCTGTGTAACAGCCCTAGTATCCTGAAACTCACTCTGTAGACCAGGCTGGCCTTGGAACTCACAGAGATCCACCTGCCTCTGCCTCCTGAGTGCTGGGATTGAAACCTACACCACCAACCACCAGCTAAATTGTGGCCATCTATACCATGATTGGATACCAAGAACTACTGCTGACTCAACAACGTGGGCTAATCAAGGATGCTAAACAGAACTCAGAAATCACTCCAATTTAGCTGAGCCTCAACAGTACGTAAATACACAAATAATAAATTAAAACACTTTCTTGACAGAAATAAAACTGCCAGTATATATAGCAGAACACCTGACCAGCTTGCATGAGTTCCTAAATCAAATCCTCCGAACGCGTAAAACAAAAATTCACAAGTGAGATTAGCAGTGTCTTAGGGGTCAGGTGTGTGAGCTACACAGGAGAACCTTGTAGGGAGCTAGAAACATCCCACATCTCCATCTTGATGGTAAATTCACAGATACATCTGTACCTAAAGTTGTACTATTATACTTAGGATTTGCTATCATTTCTAAAAAAAAAAATAGTAAATGAAAATAAGACATCTCATTGAGCCAGAGGAGGAATGAGGAAGGATCTGAGTTTCTTGGGGCTTTGTCTAGACTGTCCAATAACATGACAGAGCACACATCACCCCATCAGATCAAGTCTCCCTATCACCTACAGAGCAGCTGGTCTCTGGTCCTTCAGCTTCCACAGATAATCTGTACCCTCAAGCAGAACCAAAGTACTTGGCATATGTTACTGATAAGTGTGGTAAGTGAATTAATAAATACGTGAACTCTGAAGTCACAGTTCATTTGCATCAGATCATTTCAATGCTAAAATAGGAGGTGATTAATAAAGATGTTTCCAATTTTATCATCATTCTCAATCTGTGTCTACTCAGTCTCTGAGGATGCCATCGGTAATGTCATTTTTCCTGGTAAAAAGGAGCAAAACTTTGACATGTGTGTGACCTTGCTGCCTTTCACACTCTTCCACTGACCCAAAAGTAGAACAAGAATGAAATGCCTTCCAGCTTCATCTGAAATTGTGCCTGCGCATATCTGGCAATGCTTGAGTAAACAGGATGAAAAATTCTGCTAGCAAGAACACAACTGTTTTCCTATCAGCTGGAAACCTTCGGGAATCCTAATAGAATAAAACCCTCACTAAGCAGAAAGCCTCTTTCTTTGCTATAAGAAGTCTCTAGCTACACAGTAGCCAATACATACTAGCAGGAAACTTGTCATTCAAAACACAGTCAACAGATCATGTCTACGGAGCCGGAGATGTTGCCAATGACAGCTGTACGACATACCTGTTCCAGAACATCTAACTTTAATTCGAGTTTGCTGAGAACCACGTCCCCACCCCATAGTGAAAGCTGGAGATCCGAAGGCTTCAAGTTCTTGATATAGCGATTCACATAGCTCATTAAAATTGGAGTTACGTACGACTCCAGCATCTTCAAAGTTAGGAGTCAGCGGTGAATCCTGAAAGGGGCAAAAAACAGAAATATAAGTGTCTGAATCGGCCGGCAGCAAATGGAAAAGCACTTCTCGGGAGGGCTGGTGAGGCCGATGAGCGGCCCTCCGCGTCTGGCCGCCACCTCCCCGCTAACCGCGCGCCTCACCTGGCCTGTAGTGGGCGGAGGGGGCGGCGACGGCAGGCGACAGTCCCTCGGCGTGGGAGGAGAGCACGACCCCCTTCACGCCCGCTGTTCTGCAGCCCAGCCGGCCCCTGAGGCGCTCGACTCCCGGAACGCAGCCGGATCTCCGGCCATAGAAGCTGAGCCGGCGTCCGGCCCGCCGCAGCCGCGCCCCCGCCCCGTAGCCGCACACGCCACCGAGCGCGGCTCCCTCGAGCTCCACCTCCGGGCACCTGGCTGCGCCGCGCCGCTCGCGTTCCGCGCCACTTCCGCGTGTGCCCGCTTTGCGGTCCGACAGGCTGTCTGGGCGGATCGGCGACTCAGCGTCTGCCTGGGACGACGCCGGCTTCCCTAGGCCCCCATCCCCGCTGCCATCGCGTTCGGGGTTCGGGCCGACCGCTGCGAAGCGCTCGGGGCGAGGGACGGACCGGTAAAGCGGAGGCACCGGGGATCCGGAAGTGGCGACGCCGGCCAAGGCACTGGCGGGGAAGCGCCCTAGGGCAGGTCGGGAGGCGGTGCGAGAGCGGAGTCGGAAGGGCCAGGGATGCTGGGTCGCGGAGGCTGCGGCAGCCTTCGTTCTGCAAGAACTGGAGATACACAGGGGACTGTTTCCTGTGCTGCTGGAGGAACTGGGAAGAGGAACTGGGGTTCGTTGGGGTGGAGGTAAAAGGCAGGTAGGAGGAGCTAAGTAGGGCGGAAGATTTTAAATGTCCCACTCAAGTTTATTGGGAAGGTGGCCGTGGGCAGGAAATTGAGATCAGAGGTGTACAGCGTGGAAGAATGCGCTTAGACCAGACGCGAGCATAAGCTCGTTCTTCCCTTTCCGCAAAGCATGGTTCAATAGTCCCCAGTTAGCGGGTGCAGGTGCTTGGACTGGAGGGCAAATGGTCTGAGAAGGTGATTAGACTACAGTCCCATATGGGGCTCCTCCAAAAGCTGAGCGAGTATCAAAATCAGCAAGAGTCCTGGATCAAAAGTGTAAATAACTGATAAAGAATAAATTCTGTTTTACACACAGTGTGGGTTATGTTGTGATGAAGTAGATTTATAACTTGCTTCGTTGTAGCCCCATGTAGACTAACAGCAGACTCTCAAACGCCTGCTTTGGAAGATGTACTGAGTGGATGGAAACAGCACAGGATATGTTGCCCTCCCCCCCTTTTTCTTTGGGTAACTTCTGAAGAAAATATTGTGTCTTGCACATAGTTTTTCTTTATAGGTTATTCAGTACCCACTCAAGCCTAAAACTCTTTTGAAATAAACAGAAAAATTACAATTTCCTGAAAGAGAATTGGTGGTTGCTATAAAAAAATGAGATTTATGGGGATGCCAAAGTTTAATAGTGAAAATAATGTATTAGATTTCACACGCAGAAGAGCAGCACGCAATTGCTAATTCACAGCAGCTGCTAACTCAAATGCCTTAATAAATAACCATGTTATGCGAGTGCTATGGAAACTTAATTAGTAAAATAAACATTAAGTTACCTGCATTACTAGAACTGGGTTGAAGCCATGACGGAGAAGTTTTAATATTAAAAAATATATATTCCACAGCTGAGCGGTGGTGGTGCATGCCTTTAATCCCAGCACTGGGGAGGCAGAAGCAGGCAGATCTCTGAGTGTTCGAGGCCAGCCAGGCTCCAAAGCCACACAAAGAAATTCCATCTCAAAAAAAAAAAATCCACTAAGCATAGAGATGTGTGACAATCTAATAAAACACTATCAGGATGCTAGCCAGATTCTTAAGCAGCAATAAATATGACTGATAGGTTTTAACAAAAAAATGTGTAGAATGCTAAACATTCTTTTGTAGCCAGGAAAAGATGCCAAGTCCTTAGCCTAAACATTATCTGGGCACAGTTTGTAGTATCAAAAATTAGTGGTTCGCAGCCCGTGTTCTATATGCAGCTCAAGTAAATTTAATTCCTTTTCACTACTATTGTTTGCCAAGTGTGTAGGCTTCTCCAAATATCCGCTAGTCTTTTATAATGCAATTCACATATGTACAAAATATTTTTGAAGTCTCTTTTGAAAGACTGAGGCAGCTTGGGCAGGGAGTAGTTCTACAGGAGCCATCCTGGTCTGTGTCTGAAGGGGGCTGAGTGGAATCTCAGCTTTCCCAGCGAATATGCTATAAGCTGTAGGGCTTGCAGGCCTGTCCTCTGTTGAAAGCTTGCTACTTAATTTTGGACCATTAGAGAAAAGACTCCGACCCAGAACCTCCTCCTCGCCCTGGCCAGGGAGGGCACCCCTGCATTTGTAAACTACATGGGAACTATGGAAGGTAATTTTTAGCCTAGATTTGGGCATAATTTCTCACACAATATTTCAAGGGGTAGGGCTGAGGATACTACTTCCTCAGGTTAGCGAAACCCTTGAGACTCTGCGAATTCAGAGTTCTTAGCTTTAGTGATATCCTCCCACACATCCCCACAACAGGTTACAGGATTCCATTCTTTACCCATTAATGCCCCTAACCTTAACGTCTGGAACTTGAATATGCAACCTTATAATAGGACTTCAGTTTGATTGTCTGCAACTTGGGCTGTGTGACTGCTGGAGAGACTCTCTGCCAGGACACACTCGGAAATCTTTAGACTCTTATACACATCTGGATATGGTCAGTTTTATCACTCAGTTCATCCCTATCCTTTGTCAGTTTGTCCAGAAATACTAAGAGCAACCAACCAGCAGCATCACCTTCCTGAATTTTTCCAAAATTGTCCAAAGTTTTACATACAGAGTCCATAAATCCATCACCACCTGCAACTGATGAATCTAAAGAATCAAATGCATTTCTTCTCTCTTAAGTTTGAGTCCTCTGAGCTCCCAGGAGAGGCTTCAGTAACTAGAGAGCTACTGGGCTATTGTGAGTGCTGGCAAACTGAGAAGCCATCCCAGATCCTCTAAAGGTTCACCATCTACTTCTGTTGCTCTGGAACACTCCTGGTACCAAAATCTGAGTTAGTCAGGGTTCTTCTAGAGTATCAGAACTTACAGAATGAATATATATACATATATATAATATATATGCATGTGTATATTAGAATGAATATATGCCCATAAAAGAAAATATATATGTATATATATATGAATGTTTCACGAGCTGCAGTCCAGCTAGCCCAGGAATGGCCGACTATGAACAGAAAGCCCAAGAATCCAGCAGTTGCTCAGTCCACGAGACTGGGACATCTCAGCTGGTCTTCAGTGCACTCTAGAATTCCAAAGAAGTAGACTGTAATGCAGTGAAGGAATGGACTTGCCAGCAAGGTGAGAGGAAAGCAAAGAGCCAAAATTTCCTTCCTCTAGGTCCTTGTATGGCTTCCAGCAGAAGGTGTGACCCAGGTTGAAGCTGTGTCTTCCCAACTCAAGAGCTAGTTTAAAGACTTGTCAAGTTTACAGGCTTGAGGAAATGGCGAGGCCCCCTCCCACAGCCACAGGCTCAGGGAAATGGCGAGGCCTTCCTTTGGGTCTCTGCTACAGAGACTGTTTCTACTGAGATTAACTAAGCCCACTTGCTTCTTTAGCTGGATATGGAAAACACTGCTTCCTTGTTTATCTTATGTAATTACCCATGTCCTTCTTCAGCTGTATGTAATGACCCCTTGCCTCTGCTCAACTGCATGATAAACATGATGAACTCCAGGGAGTTGCAGTTTTGCCATCAGAGGCCAACCGCCCATCTGATCCCAGGTTTTCACCGTTTCTAATTAGAGCAAGTCCCTAGAGCCAGGCAGGATTCGGCAAAATGGCACCTAACACGGATACAAACAGGGAAAGGAAGACGGACACTGACTTTGGGGAACTCTGGCTTGTTAGATGAGGGAACACGAGAGAAGGGAAGTAAGAAGAGCGAAGGATAAGGAAATGGGAAAGAGGAGTGTAATTCTGAGCTTCGGGTGAAAGAAATCTGGAGATGGGTAGCTCTGTGTTGGTGCCTTGGGGAGACTTTGGGAAACCTGGGATGTCGGATGACAGCATTGCAACTCATTTGGTTCTTGAACTATGTTCCGGAGGCCTGCCCTTCCTTGCAGGAAAGGGGACAATGAAGTCAGCCACTTAGAAAAAAAAGTAAGTAACCAGAAAAACCTGAGGAATGGATACATGGTCGAGGCCCCTAATCCATCCCAACCCAGTGTGTTCCCAATATACCTTCAGTTTAGCTTGACAGATTTTCTGTTATATTTGCTCCAAGCAATGACTGGGCAGTTGTGGGCCCCGAGTCGGGGGTGCTGGAGGTGGCCCCTCTTCAGCAACCTGCACTCTGCCAGACCCGGAGCCTAGGCAATATCTACCTGGTATCTGTCAAACATTTATAATAATGCTTTGTCCAGCACGGCTCCAGAGATGGGCCTGTCTGGGCCAGGGAGGAAATGAAGAAATGACAAACAGACATGAGAAGAACTGACTTCCTCAGGGAATCCGGGTGGTCATTGAAACGCCCCAGGAAACCAAGGGAGTCATTTGTATAAGCAGGTCCTGGAGTGTGTGTCAGGCTTCTCCCTGACCGGCCTTACCTCATGGATGTAATTACCAGGAAGCATCTACAACTTTTAAAGCATTCAAAACAAATAAACCAAAAACCTTTAGCCGGGTGCCTTCTCCATCAGCAGGCACAGTGACTGCCTCCTCACCTCTCCAGCTTCGGTGGTTCTTGGCTTCTTGGCACTCTTTGACATTCATCGGTGTCATTCAGTTCCTAACCGCCAGCATTGTATCATCTGCTCCTATTCTGTGTCTGTTGTCCTTCGCTTCACTGTTCCTTGTCACTGGATTTAGAGCTGACTTGGAAAATCCAGAACAAAACTCTTAACATTCTTTTGAAGAAGATAGTCTT